TATTTTCTAACTACCAGTGATTCTTCTTTGTTTCCAACTTTTGCATTCCAGTCACCAGTGACAATTAGCACACTTTGATTGCATGTTTGGTCAATTTCAGCCTGCGGAAGTTGGTAAAAATCTTCAGTTTCCTCATCTTTGGCTTTGGTGGTTGGTGCATAAATTTGAATAATAGTAGTATTAACTGGTCTTCTTCATAGGTGTATGGATATCATCCTATCATTGACAGCATTGTACTTCTGTATAGGTCTTGGAATAGTCTTTGTGACGATGAATGCCACACCATTCCTCTTCACTCAAGCCCAGCATTGTAGATCATATGGTAGTCTGATTCAAAATGGCCAAAACTAGTCCATTTCAGCTCACTGATGCCTAGGATATTGATCTTTATGTGTTCCGTTGCATTTTTGACAACTTCCAATTTTCCTAGATTCATACTTTGAACATTCCATGTTCTGATTATTCATGGATATTTGCAGCTGTTCTCATCTTGAGACATGGCACATCAACCAATGGAGGTCCCAAAAGCTTCACTCTATCCACATCATTAAGGTTGGTCATATTTTAAGTGCCTTCTGACCTGAGGGGCTCACCTTCCGACACTGTGCCAAACAATGTTTCAGGGCTATTTATAAAGTTTTGCAGTAATCTATCAGACAGTGTTTCACTGTTATTCATAAGGTTTTCCCTGGCCAATTCTTGGAGAAGTGGATGGTCTCTTCTTTCTTCTGAATCTGTCTTAGTCTGGAAGCTCCACTGAAACCTGTCCACATGGGTCACCTGCTGGCATTTTGAACACCAGTGGCATTCATAGCCTCCAGCCTCCCAACAACACTCAGGCCACCTCAGGGTGACAAACTGACAGAGGAGTTCGTCTCTGTTCTCTGTTCTAAATTGCTCTGCTCATTTCCAGGCCTCCCCTGCCCTGTTCGCTCACCTGGCCTGCCCCCGGGGCAAACACCTGCCTTCCACTAGTCCTGGGGCTGGCTTACTTCATCCTGCCCCCAGGGCAGCTCCACGAAGGGAAGCACCTGCCTTCCCTTGGTCTCAGGGCTGGCTTATAGAATCACTGTAGGTTTGCTATGAATCAGAGTCATGATCACAGTGAATAGTCCCCGTCTCACTCAGTGGGTGGGCCCAGGGGTGCTGGGAGGGGTGGAATCATGCTTTGGGCTGATACCCAGGACGCACCAAGACCAGAGGTGGACCCCATACATGTGTTACATGTATGTTCTAATGCTTACAGCAGCCCTGTGGACAGTCATTGAGGAAACAGCAACAGCTGCATTGATTGCTCTGCTTGGGGTCACACAGTAAGGAGCTCTGGTGGTGTCGTAGCTAAGGCATTTGGCTGCTAAACTAAGAATGGGGATTCGAACCCACCACCCATTCCGTAGAAGAAAGATGAGGCCATCTGCTTCCTTAAAAGATTCACAGCCTCGGAAACCCAACGGGGGCCACTGTGACTTGGATCGACTCAATGGCAGTGGGTTTGGTTCTCGAAGGTCACAAAATATTTTGTGTGCTTAGGATGCAAACCTAGTCCATTCTGACCTCCCAGTTCCTGCTCCTTCTCTGAATTTCCCCATGGTGCTCCTGGTGGTGTCTGGGGACAGGATAGTTCTCTGTTGTGCATGGTTGGCATTTATCACACACACTTCGCCTCTGCTCTGGTGTCTAGAGCTGCTGTAACCAAGTGGCCCCACTGGCCAGTTCATTGTCCCGCGTCCTGGAGGCTGAAAGTCTGCAGTCCAGGTGTGTGGCGGGGCTCGCTCTCTCTGAAGGCTCTAGGGGAAGATGTTTTCTTGTGTGTGTTTTCTGGTGGCCTCAGGTGTTCTTTGGCTTGGGGCTGCACCACTCCAGTCTCTGCCCCTGTGGTCATGTGGCTGTCTTCCCTCTGTATCTGTCTTTGTGTCTCGTCTCCTTTTAGGTACAGACACCCTGTGTGTTGGATCAGGACCCACCTACCCCCACTGAGACCCTCCCTATGTGAAACTTAACTGGTAACACCTTCAAAGACCCTGTTTCCTGACAAGGTCATGGACAGGTACTTGAAGTTGGAGCGTCAGCATATCTTGCTGGGGGCATGATTCCACCCCTCCCAGCACCCCTGGCCACACCCACTGAGATGGGCACCAGTCACCGTGAACACCTACAAGGCCACACACACCTGCTGATGGCCCCTGGAAGCAAATCTCAGCCATGTGTTCCTCACCTGTTGGTGAGACCCCTGCAGGTGCCAAGAGGAAGCATGAAGACCCCCCCCTTTGGCTTGACCTCTAAGAGAATATTAGCTGGGGTTGCCCTGTGCTTGGAACCAAAGACCCACAGTGGTTCTTGCAGCAAGTATTGCCTCGGGTCCATGACACCTCCGGGTCACCCAGGACACAGCTCATGTGTCGTGCTTCAGTTTCCAAGCCTGGCTGTCTTCTGACTCCACCCAGAAGACGGGCATAGGTGCCACCTGAAACCATGGCCCTGAAAAAACCTGTCGAGTGCCCTCTAGCTAGGCAGCCCTGTGAGCTGTGTGGAGCAGAGAGAGACGCCTGACTGGCCGGGACAGCAGAGTAGGGCTCGCACGCGTGTGCAGGCCCAGGTTTCCCGGAGGCTGAAGCAGCGCCCCCCTCGAGAGGCGCCACCGGGTTCCCCACGAGGGAACGCTCACCCCGGGGCTTGGGAAGATGGCGGAGCCCGCAGAACCTGGTGCAGGTTCCACCGCAGCTCAGCTTCGCAGGAACGTCTTGTTTTCCTTACGAGGCCTACAGTGTAGAGCTACCTGGGGAGCTGGGCAGGTCTGCAGACCTTTTTGAGAGAGTTTTAGGCTGACATGAAGAGCGTGCGAGAACGTCAGTGTTCCCGTGTCACCTGCCCCGTGCACAGCCTCCCCTGCTGGTGACGGCTTGCACGTGTGCCGGCATTTCCTGCGTGGACCAGTCAGGCCCGTGGCTTGAGCGCGGGAAGAAGGGTCCCTCTTGGTGCTGTCATGTCACGTGTCCGTCATCACAGGCTCCCGCAGCTCTTTTCACCGCCCTCACCGTGCCCTGTGCTGCACCCGTCTGGCCCTGTCCCCTCTCCGTGGATTCCTGGCAGCCCATCTAATTTTACTTCAACAACAGAAAGATTAGAAATGGTCGAAAGAGGCGGGTTTGGCCGGGCTTTTGCTTTTCCATGGGAGCTCTGGTGGCACAGTGCCTAAGGCAGGTGACTGCTAACCACAGGCTGATGGTTCAAACCCACCAGCCACTCCTCGGAAGGAAGCCTGGGGAATCTACTTCCGTAGAGATACCACCTTGGAAACCCAAGGAGGGGTCGCTATGAGTCACATCCGACTCCATGGCAGTGAGTTTGGTTTGGTTGGGTTTTGCTTTTCCAGGCTTCTCTGTGGGTCTCGCAGAAGGAATGTGGGAATGTTACCGAGTTGCTTTTCCCATTCCTGGTGGTGGTTTTGTGCATGTGAGAAGAACCCATGACTGGTTTATGGGCGTGGTTGACAGGATTTCGCTTTTTCAAAAATGAGCTCTGTGGCTGCGGGTTGATGGCCTGTCCAGCCCTTTTCCCTAATTGCCTTCCTTTGTAGTTCGGGAGGTGCGAGGCCCATGTTCACCAGCTTTGGGGCTCAGAGTCAGCGTGGGTGGCCTGAAGGCCCTGTACCACCTACCTGCCCCCCAGTGAGGTGTCCAGACAAGATCGTCACCCATGTCTGACATGTCACACTTAGACTCACACCGTGCTTCCCAAAGTGTGTTCCCAGAGCGCTTCCCCGGCCGGCCCAAGAGCATCACCTGGAAACCAGGGGAAGGTGCGGGTTCTTGTTCCGCCCCAGACCTGCTGTTTCAGACACTTGGGGGGGCACTAAAGTTTTAGATGCACCATCCAAGTGAGAGAGCAGCAGGTGGTTATTGATTGATTATTAATTATTGATTACCAGAAAATCCTGTGAGTCGGGGACTCTGAGTCAATGGTGAGAGTTAAGGCCGCCTGGACAGACAGGTCAGTCCCAGGCTTCTGCCTTTGTTGGTGTGTGAGGTGCCGCCGAGTCGACCTGGTTGGGTGGCAACAGAACACGAGGTCCCGGCCTGCCTTCCGGGTGTTGGCGTGCCACGCCCACCGTTGGGGTGCTGTGTCAGTCCATCTCTTGGGGGGTGTCCTTCATTCTCACTGACCCTCCGCTTTATGAAACATGATGTCCTTTTGCAGCAATTTTCCTTTCCCGATGACGTGTCCAAACTAAGTGTCGCCGTCCTGGCTCCTGCAGGCTGTTCTGCGGGGCCTCCTCCGTTAACAGTGACCAGGTTTCTTTGCAGCAGGGAGCAGGTCCTCAGCCCGGAAGCAGGCTCTGGGATGGGTTCTTGCCTCTGAGGACCTGCCAGGAGTGCGCTTTCTCAGGCCCCCAGTTTTCAGAACCGCTAATGGGATGTCTTTCTCCCTCCCTGCAGAAGTGTATCCGTTTTAACCCGGACGCGACAGTGTGGGTGGCCAAGCAGAAAGTCCTATGCACGCTGAACCAGGGCCTGAAGGACGTGCTCAACTACGGGCTCTTCCAGCCCGCCAGCAACGGGCGCGACGGGAAGTTCCTGGATGAAGAACGGCTGCTCCGCGAGTACCCGCAGCCCGTGGGCACGGGGGTGCCGTCACTGGAGGTAACCCTGCCAGCCGCGCACGGAGGGCTGAGTCCTGCAGAGGTGCCGGGGTGGGCGGGGAAAACCTCCACCCCCATGGAACTTGGGTCAGGAAATTACCCCACATTCCAAAACCACTTTGGGGTCTTGAGGGGACACCTAATTGTGCTGCTGTTTGCATACAGGGCTGTGTAATCTCTGTACATCTGTTTCCTCTGTGGAATTAACACGTTTGTTGAAGGGAAGTCATGGGGTGAACAAACCACAGGTCTGCCTTACTTCACCAGGACGTACATGCTCTGGGGAGGCCACTTGGCGTGTGTTCCTTCTCCCTGAACCCATGTCCCTGCCCTCAAGCCACAGGGTGGCCTGGTGGCTACTCTGCAGTTAGGAGAAGCTCTGCTTCTTGGCCCAGGGGTGGCTGAAGGCTCTTAAGGTTGCATAGCTGGTCATGTGCCCTGTGTTCTTCACAAACAGCACTGGTTATGCCAGATGGGACAGTCTTCCATGGGCCCCAGCGTGGCACAGCCCGGCTCCCGCCTGTCTAACCCTGCTGCTGTCCCCCAGATTTACAGTGTTTGTTGCAGTGCGTACCAGGGCACGTGTTGCAGCAGCAGCACGACCTGCCAGAATGCAGTGGTGGTGCTGAGTTGTGTTGCATGGACTGAGACGCACACAAACGGCCCTTGTGCACAGCATGGCCATGCTCCAGAGGGCCTTCAGTGGCTGTGACCTTTGGGAAGCGGGTCACCAGGCTCGCCCTCCAGGTGCCACTCGGTGGATTTGAACCTCCAGCCTTTTGGCTGGCAGTCAAGTGCTTCATCATCTGCAACATCCGGGGACTCTGGGAACATGGCAACGCCTCCTGTTAACAGGGCACGCTATTATTATGTGGTCTTATTAACTTCAACTCAGACAACGAGACTGGGAGTGTGGACTCGTGGCTGGCGTGTGAGCCTTCTAAGGGAAGCTTCTCTGATGTTCTCAGGGTCAAGGTCTTACCCCGAGGTTCGTGATGTCACGGACATGATCGTGGAGCTAAGGGAAGACCCTGTCCATGCATTTCTCAGTTCAGCGGTAGCTTCCAGGCTCAGGTGGCTGGGGTTCTTGTTTCTGCAGATGCTGTGTAGGATCCGGAGGAGGGTGTTAAGTGGAGGACGAGCTGGGATGCTGTTTAGGAGTCGGGGGGTTCAGGGCTGATCCCTCTGCCGGGCTGTCCTCAGCTCGTTCACTGTAGAGGGACACACACAGGAGAATCCCTCCCAGAAGGGGGCCTGCTGGGGCCAGCCCTTCCAGGCACACGTAGTGCCAGACATCACAGTCTGGTCTCACGAGTGGACACGCCGTGGGAGGGGACGGAGCATGGACGGTGACTCATTTCAGGGCCTGGTGGTTTCTGTGCTGTTCCTGTTAAATTGATGCTGACTCCGGACAGCCCCAGCTGTGCAGGGTGATGCTGCTCCGTGAGGGTTTCAAGGCTGCAGCCTTTCCAGAGGCCTTTCTGGGAGGTGCCCCTGGGTGGGTTTGAACCACTGGCCTTTGGGTTAGTAGCTGAGAGCTTCACCGTTAGAGTCACACAGAGACTGCCGCTCATCTCTTTACTGGTTGGGAAAGTGACCGGGGACTGCTTGTGATTGGAGAGCCTGTTGGAGGGGCAGCATTGATCTGAAGGCCCTGACCACCTGCCAGCCCCTCCCCTGAGAACAAGACAAGGCACATGTGGAAAAGCACCTCATCACTGGGTGGGGTGGTGCCAGGCCACTGGACAAACAGCCAAGTGACCCCTGTGGACACGCTGTTAGGAGTTCGTGGGAGCTGAGGGCGTGGGGCTTGGCCCTTTGTTTACCCTACAGTCTCATCAGGTGGTGCTGTGCCTCCTTGAGCAGGCCAGTAGCCTCTCTGAGCTGCAGACACCCCTAGGGACGCATCAGTACTGGCCTCTCCAGCCCACTTAGCAGTGAAGGGGGCAGGTGCGAGGGGCAGGACAGAAGGGGCGAGGCCCGTGGCTGTCCCCCTGGTTGGTCCCCAACATTTGGAGCCATTCTTTGTTTTTATTAATATCCTGGGCCACTCCCAGCCTGATGGCCCAGTGAAGGACTGGGATGGGCCTGGGGACTGGGGAGAGTTCAGTAAAACGCAGTTGGCTGCTTGGGAAACGCTGGCATGCACCAACCACAGTAAGAGGTCAGGTTTGAGAGCCCGGAGCGGTGACGTTGGCGGCCCCAGAAATAAACAGCTCCCAAGTGTGTGGGCGCACGTGTGGGTATGTGTGGGTGCCGGTGTGCACGTGCATGTGGTGTGTGTGCAGGTGCCTGTTTCAATGTGTATTATTTTTCAGAGCAGGACTGTGTTGTAGAAAAATTGGGCAGAAAGTGCAGAGTTCCCATGAGCCTGACTTACCCCTCATGTGGATTTCCTATTTATTGGCATCTTGCCTTCCCGTGACACACTGTGACGATTGACGGAGCAATACTGATACATAACTTAAGCCCATGTGGATAACAGGGCTCACTCTCTGTTCTGGTTCCCTAGTGCCACTCTGACAGGAATAGACCACAAATGGGATGGCCTTAACAAACAGCAGTTTATTCTCTTACAGTCCAGGAGGCTAGAAGTCTAAGTTCAAAGTGCCAGGCTCAAGGGGCTGGGTAAAAGCCCCTCAACCTTGGGTTTCAGCTCTGCCTCTTGCTCCCGGCCCACTGAAGCTAGAGGCATCTCTTCACTCAGGCAGCTACTGGCTGTTGAGACTAACAGCCCAAGGTTGACAAATAAAATGGCACAGTCCCGATGTTACCAAACCACATGGTAGGCCATTGATTCAAATCCATTGAAAGTCCCAAGGTCAGCAGAGGATGGCAGGCTACTGAACAACGACACGGCTACCTGCAGAGTCCAAATGTGCCATAAGCTAGAGACGGTTCCCCAAGGCTTCTGCTTATGTACAGGAAGCCGGCCACATCCCTAAGCAGCTCCTCAGACGCTCACAGTAGATTCCACCATGGGGTTGATGACCAGTCTCATCACGGGGAACACTATAACCAGGCCCAGCCACGCTGACACACAAACTGAACTGTCATAGTCTCTGTGTTGCAGTCCTGTGGGTTTTGACAAATGCTGTCCCAAGTCCACCATGACAATGTCATGGAGAATAGTGTCACTGCCGGAACAATGCCCTAGGCTCCACCCATCCCTCCTCCTCCCTCCCTGAGCCCCACCCCCACTGACCTGCTCTCCCTCTCTCCCTGTGCCCCTTCTCC